TATTATGTGTGTGTGTGTGTGTGTGTGTGTGTGTGTGTGTGTGTGTGTGTAGTATATTCAGCATAATAATTTTCAGTTAAAACAGAATTATAATTGAACTTATTAGCTTAGTTACAACGGATATGTGAAAAACAGAAAAATTTTTTTTATTATCTTTAACGTAATAAAATTATTGAAACGCGACGCTTCGGGGAAAGGCTCGGGATGTTGCTGTACAAGTTAGCACTTGGAATCTACTGTTCTCGCCGTTTTCTGGTCTTGAAAAGGAAGCCTTCGTAAACCTACTGGTTTGCACACGGAAGTTTGCTCTATACCCCAAATAACATTAAATGCGAAAGGGCGGAGGCACTCCTATTATCACTGGAACATAGAGCGGTTTATGATTCCTCAACGGTATTTATTTAGATGCTGCACTTCTTCTTTTAACTCAAAGAATTTCATATTTATCTAACTTTTGCGGTATCTCAAGTATCACGAAACGATCTAAGAAATCGAAAACTTTATAAAACTAAAATTCATAACTATTTAAATTCTAAAATTCTCGCTCGTATCAACATAGGCTGCCACATTCGATTGGTCCACAAAAGTGGACTATAAAATAACCAGCAAAAACAGTTATTCCTTTTAAATAATCCATCCAAGAGATTTCTCAAGCAATTAAGTGTTCGGGAAACTCATCATTGCTCGCGCACGAAGCAACGTCGACATTTACGCTACGCCATAATTAACCGGGAATGATGGATGCGAATAGAATAAAATAAAAGTTGCAAATGTAATTTCAGCGAGTGCAAATATTTTCGCGAGCGTTTTCTTTTCTACCAAGCACTAAAACCTCATTAAATTACTGTATTTTTCACGATTCACAGAAAAGAATAATGAGCAATTACGCAAAATCGATTTGTAGAATAATGATCGTTAACGTCTCTTCAAATTTTGCTAAATGGAAACTTTATCCGTTGGAAGAAGGATAGGCTGAAAATGTGTGTAAAATGCACACGCGAGAAGGAGGAAAGAGAAGGAAGGAGTCATCGCCGAAGGAAGAAGTCTGCAGGTTCTCAAATTGCGATGAAACCTGGCACCGACGCGTCGCGCGGGTTTCATATAACAACCGGACCACCGATGATGGTGCTGCACGTTTCTCTCGTTTCTTCGACGGATACTTCATCCATCGATCCCGACACGCTGGCGAATTCCTGTTCTGAGGAGTTACATGCACGAAAAATGGATCGACAATTGGCGCCGACGTACGGGAGCAATGAACAAGATAAGGTCGCGTGATAAGCGCAAACTTGAGAGTATAAAAACATTAAGAGAGAAATCAAATTTGTAATCTGAGTAATTTTAAATACTATACATAATAAAATATAGCGCAAAATTTAGTATATATTTAAAGATTGAGGTACGTAAAATTATAATTAGATTACTGTAAAATAATTTTATTTTGTAAACATACATCGCGTTTTCAGTCTCGCAGGCAATAATTATGTATACTGTATTAAAAATAAATTATAATATATACAATTCAGCGGGCGATATGATACAGAGCTTAAGACTAACTTAACTATACTATGATACAAAATTTACAGATCTATTTACACACATATCGCTAATATTCTTTACGGATCGCGTATTGGTATATTATCACACTTTCAATATTTATGCAGTTTCTGTGAGTAAGAAATAGTTCCTTGAATTTCAAAAAAATGACGTTGAGTGTATGAAAAATATTGATATAAATGTTATCGAGCTATAATTTTCAAATAGATAGATACAAGACGGCTACCATATCAAAATCAATTCATCATTCATAATTAAATGTATAAATGTATATAAAAAGTTTTTAATTCAAAGGCACGTGTTTCAGATGTGATAACATTAGCGATATTAGAATTCTCTAAATTTGCGGAATCGATATACATTTTTCCATTCTTCTGATTAAGTAGCTTTCACGCTTGCGATTATTTCATTCGTTCTCGCAGTGGCTAAATAATATTAAAAACTCGCGAATCACGTACTTAAGAAATTCTCGTTTGATTTTCTTTCCCGAGCTTAGCAAATTTAGCTTGGCATCGCGGCAAACGAACGCACCGCTTCTCCTTCGCGTTTCTTCTCTCTTCCTCTTTCCCGCATCTTCATTGCAGCAGGTCATAAAGCGCGGTGATGTAGGATTGAGCCATCTGCAGTGTCTCGTATTTCGATAACTGTCTATCGTTGCCCAGGGACGGCAGGTAGGCGCGCAGCCTGTCGAACGCCTTGTTCAGATTCTGCATCCGCCTCCTCTCGCGCGCGTTCGCGGCCAGTCGGCGTTTCCTCACGATGGTCGAGTTGACGTACTTGCCCCTCCTGCGAGGATCACGTCCGCCGGAAGTGACATGCGCGTTCTCCGCGTGATCCGCGCCTCCGTCGCTCGCCTCGTCCTCCTCGCTGTCGCCGTCCATCGTTCTGTCGGACAGGCCGCCGCTGCTGGAGTTGCTGATGACGCTGTCGTGGCAGGACCGTGTCTTGTCAGCGTCCAGGTTGATCATCTCTTCAGCATCCTCGCGCTCACCGTCCAAATTAATTATCTCCTCGGCCACGAGATGTTCCATCGCGTCGACGCGCAATCGTTTGTTCCCGATGTTGCTCAGCCCGATCGACGAGGCTCTCTTCGCCGTCGTGTTTCTTTTGTCCTTGATAGTCGAGCCTAACAACCGATACGTCGGCGCGTTGTTAAGCGTTTCCGGCTCCGAAGAGATCGACAATGTGGTGGCGGGGCTGACGGAGCGTAAGCTGGCGGTAGGACTCGGGGTATGCCAGCCGTCGCTGCAATTACTGCTGTCGTAGACGAGACTCTGCGGCACCGCGAGGGTGCTGACGGGCGGTAGGCCAACTGTCTTGCTCGTCGTCTTCGCGTAATTCGGCAAGTCGAGGTACGCGCAGGTAGACACGAGTGGTTCGTCCTCGCGCGGCGGAAACATATATCCGTAACGGAACATCTCCTGCAGTTCCATAGCAGGATCTATACGGATCTATGCGGAACGATGCACGCGCGCACGACGACTTCACGTGAGGAACGAAGAACCCGTTGCTCTTCACTTTGCTCAAAACGATCCTTTCACTGATACTTGACACTCCGTTAAACGCGATGGAGAACGAAGGCGGAGAGGCCTCCCCTCTTCCTCCGTGATTTTGGTCCTCTTATCAGGATCGCGTCGAACGAAGATTTTCGAGAAGCACAATGGGGTACCAGGAGTTCAGCGGTGGATGAACTCGGATGATTCTCTCGCGCGTATCGATCGATACGTCGAAACGAGTCGAGTCGAGCCACGGGGTGGTTCTGAAGTCGGGTGTACCAGCGCCGGGATATTTATGCGTTCGCGGAGCGAGGCACCCTCGCGCGTAGCACGTGCCGGGCCACCAATCCTCGTCGAGCTCGGTTCCCCACTTTACGCTGGTACCGGGCCCAGCCGGCCGGACCGGGGTACGCGAGCGGGGGCCGCAACAGGTGGCCCGGCGCCTCCGTCGTACACGCACGATCTCCTCGCACATGGAGCGGCGTAGCCATTAAAGTCATAGCGCACAAAAAGAATGTAAGCAGAGGAACTTGAGTAGCGAGCGCATGAATCGACCGCTCGCGATCGAGCATTCTTGAAAAATGGATTAGGCCTCGGGGGTTGTAATCGGGTTAATTTCTGCGTGTTCTATCTCTTTATTACACGCAATGAAAATTTTCATGCGCACCTTGCGCGACACGTGCACGAACACGATTAAACGAAATAATGATGATGATGTCGAGGGTATCCCTTCGGTCGTAATAATGCTCGCTACCTTGTTGTCAAGGTACTTCCCTATTCTTTAACATGTGTACGAAGGAGAGTATTCACTTCGTGGTCGATACGACAGGCATGCCGGAAACACAGATGGAACGTGGTGTATTATCGGTAATTGGATCATGAATTTTATATAAATGTCCAGCAATATGATAATTTCCTAGAATGCAAGGGATGTTATAAAAACGTCCTGCAATTTTTCGACCATGCAGAAACATGTCTTACGATATAAAAATAATTTTAAATGGATCAAGTCTGAAAAGTTTATAAAATATTATTCTCTCTATATATTATAAAGACAGAATATTTTAGTTTTAAAACAGCTTTATACATTATTATTCCTGTCACAAGATCTATTCAATCATAATTTTTAATCATTACATAAAAAAAAATTTATTTAATAAATTTTATTAGAAATAAAAAGCATAAACTCATTTAAATACAATTAGGAAAATAACTTTTAGTTTCATTTTTTTTTGATAATTTTCTTAGGTAATAAACTTTGAATTATTATTATCACAAATAAAATATGAAATAATTAAATTTTACCCGATATAAAATCTAAAAATAGGGATTGTAGATATTCACATTTTGTTTTTTTATTTGTTTAAGAAAAATCGTGACTCAATAATAAAGTTTGGAAAACATTATTTTAAGGAATAGTGAAAATATTCAATCTCTAAATAATCCAAATAAAGATCGAAACTCTCCAAGACTTTTCGGAATGCATCAACTCCATCTGAGCGCTATGTGAACCGGCTGACCCGGGTCGCCCGCTTTCCCGAGATGGAAACAGATCGCATCTGCACAAAAGGGTGCAAATACTTTAAGGGCGTAAGGTCCAGTTACACCTTTACTCGCTCAATTAGCGAAAACAGGTAGGATAAGGTTTGCGGTGACTGCGACACGGTGGTCCGTGGCAATCCGATCTCTGTCATTCCCCGTTCCGAGCGCGCAGCCGTCTTGGATTTCGGAGATCGTCTCACAGCCGCCCGAAAATTCTTCCTAAGTAGTCGGAACGATAATCCTCTACTTAAAAACCTTCCGTATCTTTTCGGCCCGTGCAAAACGCGAACGCGCGCGACTTCGCGACTTGAGACGCGATTTCGTCTCGCGTGTCTCGAGACAAAAATTCTTAAAAGAAAAAAAAAAGAAATATAAAAATTTGTGAGATGGAAAGAATTAACGGAAAATGTAAAAAAAAAGAACTGAGATCAGTATGACGGCTGAACTATTCATATATTTACGGATAAATTTTTTTATTTTAGAATAAAATTTTCTCGCGAGTAGCTCATTACGTAAATGTTGGTCCCAGGTGTTACGAGATTTTTCTTGCAACGCATCCCCCTTCGATTTCTAATATCCCGCGCGATATTCTCCCCAATATTCTCGCTTTTTTTCCGTTCATCAGGCGCAATTTAAAAATTGATCGCTTTCATCTATTATCATCTCGTTCCACGGATGGAATTGTGGCGGAACCAATAATTAGGACGGCGAAGAGCGTAAGTCTGGCCTACCTGCCTCTCTGCCCTTGCCCTATCCACCTATATATATATGTATACCTCCACCTTTTACCTTTGTATCTACCTGCCCGTGACGTCGAAGTTGCGCGCTCAACCCACTCATTCTGTTGCGCGTCTGGACTCTTCGACTCGCCAGAAACTCGCCGACGAATCGGAACGAAGCAGATAACGCATTCATCAAGAAACAGCTTTTTTAAAGAAATCACATAGCTCACAATTTAATTTTCCCGATCTATTTAAATCTAAGATGAAAACGCTAAGATGAAACTGCACAACTGTTTAATAAAAATACTTTTACACGTAATACGAGAATAGTATAATTACGTTCAAAGAATTACGTAACAATTCTTATTAATGTAACAAAAATGTGTGGATACGAGAAAGATGAGAAATAATAAAAAAATGCCAAAATGTAAAAATCCAATAAGTTATCTATAAAAATTATTCGCGTAAAAATATAAAAAGCGTGAGAAGACGATTAAGTACAGTAATTTACTCGCTTCGTAAGTAAAGCACTAAGACGTAAAGAAGACGTGATACCATTCTGATAATAAGCGTGGAATTACGTAACGCGGACCCTGAGACGAGGAGGATTGCACGAGTCGTTGCGAGCGCGGTGAAGAAGAAAGGAGCGAAGAAACTGTGCGCGAGGCGGCCCGCCGTGGCGGCGCAGGGTGGATCCGCCATCGGGATACGCCCTGGGCGTGAGTCGAGTAATTAAATACAAAGTGAACTCATTTGTGGAGCTCGGTGGCAAATAACATGTTACCCGGCAACTAGCGATAATTTATGAGAGTGCCGTATGACGGCATATCCCTCCATCGGCCCTCCACGAAGATTTCCCATCCCCGTGTTTTGTGCGCGTCTATTTGTGGCTTTACGGGGCCAGCCCGATGAATATGCATTCCACGGAGAATGCATTCGGATAAAGATGTGAGCTTTCGCGGACTGGACGAAATATTTCAGGGCTGGGATACTTATATTCGAAGGAACGCCGTTTATTCCACCCTCATCCTCGTCGCGGTCGACTAACCTTTCCCTCCCCTTCGCTAAGGCCATGTCGTTTCATCAATAATTCATTGATTCCAGCGTGCTGATAGATATGTTCTCCATTAGATCAAAAAGCGGGCAATTAACCCAAAATCATTATTGCTACCTTCCAAGAAACGGATTACCGTCCTTCGTAACTTGCAACTCACTCACTCGTCTACAAACTTAGGTATTCCCTAAAATTTCTAAGCGAGAATGTTAAAAAGATGAACGTAACTTAAGGGCACATATTGCATTCCGCAAACTTTTCTCGGAAATTAAACTTATGTAATAATATTTATAAAATACTCGGATCGGAAATACTAGAAACAATTTTTACAAAATATAGTCTTGAAAAATATTGTATTAATTACATTAAAAAAAAAATATTAACGCATTAGGGCACATGTTTTAATAAAATAATTATTCTTCCTCTATATAATGAATTGTTGAATGAAATTACATAAATTTTAGTCAAACAAATACATAAACTATAATATAATTATGTAAAAGAAACCTTTTTCGGCGTAAATAACAGCATTCGCATTATCAACACGTCTATTTCGTTTTTCTTTTCTTTTTTTTAATCGCTAGATGAGCTATCGCGTCTGTTGATGCGTGGCAGAGTATTCCTCCTGCTCTCGTGTCTACAACGAGCCAGACAGGACGAACTCGTAGAGGCTTGTTAGGAGAGTGCGTGCCGCGCTGATTCCGGGAATACAATTACCACATTATACGGTTCCGCTTTTCGGATTCCTTATTTTGTCCTTACGGGAGTGCTGCTGCTATCATGCCGCCGCCATTTCGTTTCGTTGTCTTGTTGGTGATTCTAATAAGCATGACGTGCGCTCCTCTATTCTGCCGAGCGCGTGAAACATTTCTCAAACGAGACCCCCTCGCCGTAACGAAGGTCTAAAACGAGACGAGCCCTCGGCCGACGGTGATTTCTTCGTCTCGGAAGAGCCAATCGATCCAATCGACATTTCTGAGGATCGTAACGCTGTTCATTGACGTCTCCGTAATTTCGCTCAGTTTCAAATCGTTCTCGTTACTTCATAATTTCGAACAAGAAAATTTGAAGCTTTAATCGGCCTGCTATTCGAAAACAAAGAGATGATCTACTATATTTTATTAATAACTTCAATTAATAACCGATGATTCAAATGGTGTTAAAACGCCAGTAAGATCCCCATACATCTTTTTCCCGCTCGTGCGTGGCCCGCAAAGGAATAGGGCGATTTTACGAGCACCGCGATAGACGCGCGTTCGTCGAAGCCGTAAAACCGATTTTTTCGAGCGATCGATATCCCCATAGCTGACGACAGCTAGCGGCTAGCTTACGCTTTCGGTGGTCAACCGCGACGTAGAAGTGTAAACCCACGGGGGTGGGTCCGTTTCTCGTTTGCGACTTTGTGTCTTTCTCTGAAATCTGGGGGTCAATTAGCGATTACGTCGGGCGAAATGGCATATCGGGACGCGCACAAATAACTAGGCGGCGCGTCCCGGCCGCGGCGCGATCAGACGCACCAAAAACCACCGGGAAATCGTTCCCGAGGTAAAATGAAGTTATTGTCGATAATCGTCTGTCGTATCCGGAAGAACGTAGATCCGAGCCGTCCGAGATCCTCCTCCACCGGTGGTCGTCGTTTTCTCGGTCGCCCAATACGTTTTGGGGATGTTTAGAAATACGCGGTCCATCATTTCTAATAATTCCTTCCTCGTCGCGATGTAC